AAAAAGAAAAAAAAAAAAAAAAAAAAAAAAAAAAAAAAAGTCTATAGCCAAAGAGAGTGAGACTACCGGACGTGGCTTGCTGACATTGCCCTGTTCAGAAGGAAGACAAAGGTCTCGCTTCTTGCTGTGGGATCGTATGATAATACCGTGCGCATTCTATCTTTGGATCCTGACGACTGTCTGCAGATTCTCAGCGTGCAAAGTGTCTCTTCCGCTCCGGAGTCTCTGCTATTCCTCGAAGTTCAGGCATCGATTGGTGGAGAGGATGGTGCTGATCACCCGGCAAATCTCTTCCTCAATTCTGGTCTGCAGAATGGTGTTCTTTTCAGAACGGTGGTGGACATGGTGACTGGTCAGCTTTCGGATTCTCGCTCCCGGTTCTTGGGGCTGAAGCCTCCCAAGCTATTCTCCATTTCTGTGAGAGGCCGTTCTGCAATGCTGTGTTTGTCTAGCCGACCTTGGCTTGGTTATATTCACCGGGGACACTTCCACTTGACGCCTTTGTCTTATGAGACTTTGGAATTTGCTGCCCCCTTTTCATCTGATCAGTGCGCTGAAGGTGTTGTCTCTGTCGCAGGGGATGCTCTGAGAATTTTCATGATTGATCGTCTTGGTGAAACGTTCAACGAAACAGTGGTCCCTCTGAGGTACACGCCTAGAAAGTTTGTTCTCCAACCCAAGCGGAAGTTGTTGGTTATTATCGAGAGTGACCAGGGAGCATTCACCGCAGAAGAGCGTGAAGCTGCAAGAAAGGAGTGCTTCGAGGCTGGTGGAGTGGGAGAAAATGGTAATGGCAATGCAGATCAGATGGAGAATGGTGCGGATGATGAAGATAAGGAAGACCCGCTTTCTGATGAGCAGTACGGTTATCCAAAAGCAGAGTCTGAAAAGTGGGTTTCTTGCATCAGAGTTCTTGATCCCAAGACAGCTACGACAACTTGTCTCCTGGAACTTCAAGACAACGAAGCTGCATACAGTGTCTGTACGGTGAATTTCCATGATAAAGAGTATGGTACATTGTTGGCTGTTGGTACAGTCAAAGGGATGCAGTTCTGGCCCAAAAAGAATCTAGTGGCTGGGTTCATACATATTTATAGGTTTGTGGAGGAAGGGAAATCTCTTGAGCTTCTTCATAAGACGCAAGTAGAAGGTGTTCCTCTTGCTCTGTGCCAGTTCCAAGGAAGACTGCTGGCAGGGATCGGACCTGTCCTCAGATTGTATGATTTGGGGAAAAAGAGACTGCTTAGGAAATGTGAAAACAAGCTCTTTCCAAACACCATTATCTCTATCCAAACTTACCGTGACCGTATATACGTTGGTGACATTCAGGAGGTGAGTGCTAGATCCTTTTTATTCTATTTTATTTTATGTTACTTATTATTGTTGTAGTAAATATCTCATGTAGCCTTTTCATTATCGTTTTGCAGTCTTTCCATTACTGCAAGTACAGGCGCGACGAGAATCAGCTATACATATTTGCGGATGACTGCGTGCCGAGGTGGCTGACAGCATCGCACCATGTGGATTTCGATACCATGGCAGGTGCAGATAAGTTTGGGAATGTGTATTTTGTGCGGTTGCCTCAGGATCTGTCTGAGGAGATAGAAGAAGACCCGACAGGCGGGAAGATAAAGTGGGAGCAAGGAAAGCTGAATGGAGCACCGAACAAAGTGGATGAGATAGTACAGTTCCATGTTGGGGACGTAGTGACGTGCTTGCAGAAAGCTTCGATGATCCCAGGTGGATCGGAATCCATAATGTATGGAACAGTGATGGGTAGCATAGGGGCATTACATGCTTTCACATCGCGTGATGATGTGGATTTCTTCTCTCATCTGGAGATGCACATGAGGCAGGAGTATCCTCCTCTCTGCGGGAGAGACCACATGGCTTACAGATCTGCATATTTTCCGGTCAAGGTATAAAAGAAAATCCATTGCTTTTTTTCTCACAAATCAAAAGAAGTCTTGATTTTGAATTGACACTTTTTGCATCTCTTGTATATTTATTTAAACAGGACGTGATAGATGGAGATCTGTGTGAGCAGTTCCCGACACTCCCAATGGACTTGCAGAGGAAAATAGCAGACGAGTTGGATCGAACACCTGCGGAGATTCTGAAGAAGCTCGAAGACGCAAGGAATAAGATCATTTAATAAACACAAAACAAAAGAGAGTCATTGTTTTGTTGGAGGACAAAGTAGAGTAGAGGAGAAAGAGGTTATAATAGTTTTTGTAAAGCTCTGTCTGTCTTCAATGGTTTGTTTTACAAATACTATTGTGAGACCTGATGAATGATGTCCAAATTTACTTATGAATATACAACTTTGATAGAGTGTTTAGTTAGGCTTTCAAAACTGATTTGTTGGTTTTAAGATTTTTTATTGTATAACGAATGTAGACATATTTTTTAACACAATTTTATGGGATTAGTGTTTTTAATCGTTATTGACATTTTTCTTACCTATTCTTATATAAGATTCTCTCATTCATACATTATGGGGGGTATACTGAAGAAAGAATTTGGAGTGATTTGAGTTTTGAGATGATTTTGGTGAATTTTGGTGAATTAGGGAATTTGATATCAAAACTCTCTCAAATCCCACCTAAACCATGGGATTTGGATATTTGAATTTTTAACTAAGATGTTCTCTGAAATCCTACCAAAAATCACTCAAGTCATTTCAAATCCACAACTTAAAATGTTTCCAATAACAGTGGATTTGATTGTAGATTTTAAAATCACTAATCCAATAACACTTGATTTTAAAAAGATTTTTAAAATTCATGTTTGAATAACATAAGATTTATCTTTTTAATACAAATCATTTCAAATCCTTTATTGAATACACCCCTCTACATATATAAATACATGTGTCTCATCTCATCTCTTCCATGGTTTGCACTTAAATCTTAACAAAATAGTTGCATTTTGGGGGCAACTAAATACAAATATAATTTTGGTATGAACTATACAACCAAATTATAAGTTTTCGCTTATACGTTTGAACATTAACGCGTAAATTTGTCGCTTTCGTTTTGTTTGAAATTAATTTCTTTTCTTTTCATTATTTTCTTTTCATTTTATATTTCAAAGGGTATCAATCTAGTTACAATTTAAAGAATCTGCTTATTAACATTCACCATATAACGATTTTTTTAACGAACAAGTAAAACAGTATTTTTGTGAAACGGATGGAATAGTAAATATCACATGGTAAGACATCAATGCAAAAGGTGTTGGGAAACAACTTTAAAAAAGAATGCCTTGTGTATTAAAGAGAAATTGAACAAACTTCTCATCCATTCGAACAGAACCAAGCCAACAAACAAACTGGTCGATGAACAAATATCCATAACAAGAAAGACGAGAATGAGAAGAGTTTTAGGGTCTCATCAGACATTTCTTTCTAGGTTGGTCTTGGAGTGGCCCATTCAACCCTGAGGATGAGGTTATCATAACCATAACCATTCAATTTGTTGATTGCTCGTTGAGCGTCTTCTCTGCTCACGAAGTTGACGAAACCAAATCCTCTGCTCACTCCAGTTTTCTGATCAATGGCCACATAGACACGCGTGACAGCTCCAAAAGGATGGAACAGCTCCATCAAGTCCGGTTCACGGGTATCTTCGGACAAGTTGGTTACACGCACAGAGTTCTCATCGTTCCTCCTCCTCATGTCTGAACCAACAGCGCTTCTGTCTGCACCTGCTCTCATGCTAGGCGGGACATATGCGGCCTTGCCAGTTCCAGGTGCAGCGGACATGGTAGATGATTCCCCTGTGGGTGGCTTGTCGATGAAGGCATCGGTTGGTGCAGCTAGATCCTTGTAAGGACATTTTGACGTCCAGTGATCTCCTTTCTTGTGGCATATCCTGCACACCATGAGAACTGCACCACCTTTACCCAGCTGAGACAAGCCGTCTCCTGTTGCCTTTGATTCATCTGCTTTGGTACCTGAATTATCACACACAGTTTAGATCCGGGCATACCTAACAACCACTGAATTTTGAACTAAATAGCCACAGAATTACACAGCAAAAGGAAGGTATTCTGTGACCAAACGGCTAACTCATTGTCAACTTTCAAATGATACAGTCATAGCAACCTATTTCTGCATAAGAAGATACTAATTAACACCATCTTTGACGAGGTATACCTAGAAATGAATAGATTGATCAATAAAGCTCTCTACTAACATCAAAAAGGAGCTAAAATTGTGCCTGTTTACAAATATCAACCCATTTTGCACTTTTCACTGAAACACAATGATCTTGGTTGTGATCACAGGACAAAAGCTTGAAGAGTTTAAAAATCAAAACTAAAGCTTCCAATCATGAAATGAAAAGGTGCAACATTTATGTGTACAGATTGCAGCCAAAAAAGTGAGAGCACAATTCAGCTCGTGCTCAAGAATTGGACTGCAAACAATAAACTGATGTCAATCACACAAAGAAGTAGCCTCACGGCAAACATATGATCGGCTAATTGGTCACCTAACTCACTTTAATAATCTTAAGCTAAACAATAAGGCTAATGAATGACGGTCACAAGTTGGAACAGATCACAGTCAAAGGTGAGTAATTAATCCGAGCACACTGATTCTAAATCCAAAATCAATAGGAAGCAGCAATAAAACCCACGAATCGATTTTACCAGGAGGTCTGGGTCGTTCGAGAAGAATCTCTTCGGTGGAAACCATAGTGAGATGGCTACCAGCTTCCTCATTGGCAGCGTCTCCAAACTTAGGCCAGTTCCTCCTCTCCATAGCCCGTTTGTTGAGCCGAGCTGAAGCTAGTTTCCGTACACGTGTCCTAGTCGTTATCTTAACCTTATTGCCCTCATCGTTGAACTTGTATTCCATCGTCGTCTTCAAACCATTCTCGTCTGGCCCAATCACCTGCTTCGGAGGGAGCAGGAAATCCAGATCGTCGTCTTCGTCCATTTCCCCCCATCGGAACTTGCTTCTTTTCTCCTGCGAATCCATCGTCATCGTCTTGATTCAGAAACCTAAAAATTGAAGAAGAAGAAGAAGAAGCTCTCCTTAGGGTTTCCTCAATGTGTTTAAAACCCGACCCCGTCTTCTGGTTAAAGATAAGATCCAAAACCCCGTCAAATAAGTTTCTTACAACCAACAAATTGGGTTAAAAGATCTGAAAACCAACAAATTGGGTTCCTTCAAAGCCTAACTAAACACTCTATCAAAGTGTAAATTTGGACTTGATTCATCAGTTCTCACAAGAGTTTTTGTTTTACAAACCATTGAAGACAGACAGAGCTTCACAAAAACTATTATAACCTCTTTCTCCTCTACTCTACTTTGTCCTCCAACAAAACAATGACTCTCTTTTGTTTTGTGTTTATTAAATGATCTTATTCCTTGCGTCTTCGAGCTTCTTCAGAATCTCCGCAGGTGTTCGATCCAACTCGTCTGCTATTTTCCTCTGCAAGTCCATTGGGAGTGTCGGGAACTGCTCACACAGATCTCCATCTATCACGTCCTGTTTAAATAAATATACAAGAGATGCAAAAAGTGTCAATTCAAAATCAAGACTTCTTTTGATTTGTGAGAAAAAAAGCAATGGATTTTCTTTTATACCTTGACCGGAAAATATGCAGATCTGTAAGCCATGTGGTCTCTCCCGCAGAGAGGAGGATACTCCTGCCTCATGTGCATCTCCAGATGAGAGAAGAAATCCACATCATCACGCGATGTGAAAGCATGTAATGCCCCTATGCTACCCATCACTGTTCCATACATTATGGATTCCGATCCACCTGGGATCATCGAAGCTTTCTGCAAGCACGTCACTACGTCCCCAACATGGAACTGTACTATCTCATCCACTTTGTTCGGTGCTCCATTCAGCTTTCCTTGCTCCCACTTTATCTTCCCGCCTGTCGGGTCTTCTTCTATCTCCTCAGACAGATCCTGAGGCAACCGCACAAAATACACATTCCCAAACTTATCTGCACCTGCCATGGTATCGAAATCCACATGGTGCGATGCTGTCAGCCACCTCGGCACGCAGTCATCCGCAAATATGTATAGCTGATTCTCGTCGCGCCTGTACTTGCAGTAATGGAAAGACTGCAAAACGATAATGAAAAGGCTACATGAGATATTTACTACAACAATAATAAGTAACATAAAATAAAATAAAATAAAAAGGATCTAGCACTCACCTCCTGAATGTCACCAACGTATATACGGTCACGGTAAGTTTGGATAGAGATAATGGTGTTTGGAAAGAGCTTGTTTTCACATTTCCTAAGCAGTCTCTTTTTCCCCAAATCATACAATCTGAGGACAGGTCCGATCCCTGCCAGCAGTCTTCCTTGGAACTGGCACAGAGCAAGAGGAACACCTTCTACTTGCGTCTTATGAAGAAGCTCAAGAGATTTCCCTTCCTCCACAAACCTATAAATATGTATGAACCCAGCCACTAGATTCTTTTTGGGCCAGAACTGCATCCCTTTGACTGTACCAACAGCCAACAATGTACCATACTCTTTATCATGGAAATTCACCGTACAGACACTGTATGCAGCTTCGTTGTCTTGAAGTTCCAGGAGACAAGTTGTCGTAGCTGTCTTGGGATCAAGAATTCTGATGCAAGAAACCCACTTTTCAGACTCTGCTTTTGGATAACCGTACTGCTCATCAGAAAGCGGGTCTTCCTTATCTTCATCATCCGCACCATTCTCCATCTGATCTGCATTGCCATTGCCATTTTCTCCCACTCCACCAGCCTCGAAGCACTCCTTTCTTGCAGCTTCACGCTCTTCTGCGGTGAATGCTCCCTGGTCACTCTCGATAATAACCAACAACTTCCGCTTGGGTTGGAGAACAAACTTTCTAGGCGTGTACCTCAGAGGGACCACTGTTTCGTTGAACGTTTCACCAAGACGATCAATCATGAAAATTCTCAGAGCATCCCCTGCGACAGAGACAACACCTTCAGCGCACTGATCAGATGAAAAGGGGGCAGCAAATTCCAAAGTCTCGTAAGACAGAGGCGTCAAG